CACCGAACCGACAACAAACATCACCTTTTCAACCGGAATATTAGGGGACTCGAATGTTAACACAATACAAAAACATCTATATTTTGTCTACTTCGCCATACAACCTTAAAATATTCTACTTTTAAATAAATAGAAATAACACGTACGAATTGGGGGATTTTGAATGTAAATAAAGACAAAAAATATTCCCAGCGTTATTACGTATTTAAGAATCTCAACTTAAAATGCCGTAATATATTGATCGTTTTAAAATTCCTTTATAATAGACAAACGCATAAAAATAACTCAGGGGCGTACTACAAAATTTAAAACAGAATTTATATTATTATATAGATATTAAATATTAACAAATTTAAAAACGCTACAACATGGATTCACACATAAACACTAATAGGCAAATGGATGTAGGCGAAAGGGGGGGATAGTGGTCGCCTAAGCATGTTGGTTTATTTATACTGCTACATAGCTTTAAAAATTATACTGTTAACGTAAATAAAACTTCAAATCTTAGTACTTCGAACTCTATTTACAAAAAATTTTTAAACAAAACAAAAAAAATAAAACGGTTTTTTAGACTTCTGCTGGTGGCCATATTTACCCGCTGCCGAGGGGTAAAAGTGCCACTGTCACTATTAACCTCATTTAAAAAATAAATAAATGCAGAAATCGCAAATGTAAATTTTGCCTTCGAATTTTGCCTTTTTGCCGACGTCGGATTTTAATATCAGATTTAATAACATTCGCTATTTACCTCCATTTAAAGCCATGTTAGAGTTCCTTTCTAAGACAGAAGAGATTTATTTTCACGTTCAGAGCGACTATGAATTGCCGTTCTGATGAAGCCTATTAGGCCGAAATACGTATAAGCTAATGAAAATACTACACAGACGCGATTTACGTGAAATTAAATCTTAATTTTATTCATATTACTTTAAACGAGTACAAGAAGCCAATTCGCTAAGGATTTTTGCTTACTTTAGAAAATATGATGTGGAATGCAAATTTTAGATTCCCCATGTCTCTAATAACATCCTTATCAATGTCTGTTTTGCCTTGCAATTCTTAGAAGGCACAGATTAAAACAAAAATCTGAATTTGGTTTCGAAAAATTAGTTTACGGATTTTAATATCAGATGTCGCTATTTGCGTCCATTCGAAGCCATGTTAGAGTTGCTTCCTAAGACAGAAGAGATTTATTTTCATGTTCAGAGCGACTTTGAATTGCCGTTTTGACGAAGCCTATTAGGCCTAAATACGTATAAGCTGCTACATAGACACACTATACGTGAAATTAAATCTTTACTGTCTTTTTCCTTTTAATTCGTCTTTTGTCGTTATGCTGATGGCCACTATATTTTCGAGCTTCATCGGCACTTTCTGCATGTGTTGCAAAATAAATGCAAGAAATAATCATCCAGCGTATAACAATTTTTTGCAGTCCCTTTAGGACCCGATATAAAATGATCTTTTACATGTTTGAGGCAACTCTGTTGACCATTTGTGACCATTTTTACCCTTGAGGCTTTTGTTTTTAAAGTTTTTTACATATTTTAAACGTTTAGATACTTGTGATAAAGGATTCTCATTTTCATCTGAACTACCTTCTACCTTTTCTTCAGACTAAACTGGACTCTTATATTCCTCTTTGATAAGGTGAAAATGAGGCACAGACGAATTATTTTCCACATCAACCTCGCTATAGGAGCCAGAGGATTCAGCTTCCAAATTGTCGTCTTCCCAGTCACTACCCTAACATCAAAAGAGTCTGGATTACTCTCTTCTCCATTCATAATACGTGCCGTGTGCTCCTCCAGTTCTTTTGCGGGCAAGAACTTTTTATTTGACATCCCTATAAGAAAAACTCAAATAGTAGGTATATTATGTAATGAGAATGAAAAAACAATATACCTACCTTATTTTTTTTGTTAATAAAACACTCAAAATCAAAATACAAACAATAAGAACCAGCTGATTTATTATATGACGTAAACATGGGACTTTCGTAAAAATTACCAACCGAACGACGAAATAAAGGCGCGTACAGACTAGCATATGCATGCGGTGAGAAGCCACGGATATGCGTGCGTACTCAAACCATTCGAGCTCAGAGCATTCGTTGAAATTAGAAATCACCGCATATGTATGCGTGCTCAAGGCGCTCCATCCATTAATGAAAATGATTAGTGCCGCGTTTGTGGTTATTAGTTTATTAAAAAAGAAAAAAACAAAGGAAAAATAGACGATGGTGGACGACGCATTTATTTAAAAGAAAAACCCTAAAAATGAATTCCGATTTACTAGTAAATTTTGCGTTAGAACCTAATACTGGACAATTTCAAAATTTTACACGTATGTCAGTAGAAGACTTTGAACGCCTTTTAAACTATATAGGCCCCGTAATAAAGAAAAATGACACAGTCTTAAGAAAAGCTATACCTGTTAAGGAACGTTTACTGATAACCTAATATAGGGTTTTCTTTATACAAATCTATTTATCTATCTATCTAATCAGCCTTAAACGCCCACTCTTGGGCATAGGCCTCCCCTGCTAATTTACATTGGTCTCTATTTTGGGCCTGCCGTTCTCTTAAGATTGTCAGTCCATCTCATCTGTGGTCTTCCTCTTTTTCTTTTCTTTTCCCATGGTAAAATATACAAATATATTAATTGCAAACATTGTTCATTTGACCACTCCATTTTACACATAAATCAATAAAATGAATATAACTCAATAAATTCGAACTTGTCTTGCAAATGCAACAAATCCTATCGCTATCCGTCTAAACTGAACGCGAACACACACCTATGTTTCTTTGATGTGTGCGAAAAAACCGACACCACTCTGGCTCGCAGCATGTGTGCTCAAGTCATTCACGAGAAGCAACGCATGCAGCGAGAGGTTACGAAAGCACCGTCCACATTTGCACACGTATGTTTATTCGTGGCTGCTCAACGCATTCGTTTGTAGGTCTGTACACGCCTTTAGAATTGGAAATTATAGGTTTGTTTCGACACAACGAAAAACTGTTACGTAACGTTTACGCTCCTGAGTACTAAACAAAATACGTTCCAACAAAAATATGATCGTTCATCTCATCGTCCTTCCGACCGTTCCAACAAAAATTGTGATCGTCCAGTGGCGGTTTCGTGACGATAATTTCAGTAATCTGGCAAATGCGTGTACTGGTTGGGCTGACTTGCGCAATAGTATTGTATTCTAATTCTTTAAATTTATTGGGCCTAGATTAACTCAGATTTTATATCAAAACTGTAAATTTGTTCAGAAAAAAGAAAAAGTTAGGTCAATGATTTTATCACATCGAGTTAGATAGATTCTAACTCGATGTTTTATCAGGTGCTTATGATAGACTTGTTATTTATTTATATATTTGGTTTTCGTTATTTATAACTTTATAAATATAACTGACGACGAAGGAATTGGTGATATTTCTGATTATTATAGTAGTGAGGATGATTTGGAGCTATTAGCCGAACATAGGGTGAAAAACCAGAATTATTTAGGTAGATTGTCACCAAATTATGTCAGTTGTCAAAAAATCGTTCCAACATCAGTTTCCAAATTACCGTCATCAGACGATACAAATGATGAACATGCGCATAGTAGTTTCGTGATGGTTTTCGGACCGTACAAAAATTGCGTGTTGGAACAAACCTTATAACAACCATCTACGACACAATATCAAGTAAGCTTGATACTAATCAGGAAGGTACTTAATTGGGGAAATCGTTGAAAGTAAACGAGAATGGGCGAAAATGCCTAATCTATTATGAGCGTCGTCAAATCTATGACGACGTCGTATTCTAGGGTTAATTGGTGTCTTACAAAAGTATGCTTGAAACTTTTAAATTTGTAACACTAGAACAGAGACTAAGATTTTTCCCAAAATCAATGATAACCGACATGATTAATTTGACCATTTTCATTGCTAGCGTAATAATTAATATAATTAATTTCATTCTAATTTTAGATCCTAATTCAGTTAAGCTCTGGTCCAATAATTAAGCTTAATTGATCTAAAATTTCAATAGCTTTGACATCCTATCTACCTTTGGAAACATATAGAGCTAGAGTGAAAAATGTGAGATAAATATATTTAAATAAACATTATTCTCCGAATCGATATTTAATTTTAATCAACTGTATTAAAAATATATTCCCATCCGATGTTTTATTTTAATACTTTTTTTAATTACATTATTTGAATTAAACTGACATTTGAATATTTATAATATGGCACTACTGTCGGAATTGTATGAATGGCACATTTTCAAATTAAATATCACAAAAAGATCGCATAATTAGATGTCATTAAGTCTTTATGATCCTCTATAATGGACGTAATGAAATTTAGTAAATTTAAACAGTAGTTTATTTAGTAAATTATTTCAGTTGGTTATAAATAAATAAATATATTTTATTGAGTGATTCTTCATTATGTTCTTAAGTAGTGGAATGTCCATATAATTTTGAAGTGTTTGGTCAGATACATACAATGGAGTTTATGTTTGAAGTATCATCATATTTAAAGGTTTACTTCAGGCCAATAGTTCTATTCCATATGCCCAAACTGGTATGAGTATAGCTTTACATTAAAAATTTACATTGGTCAAACTGGTAGAACTTTTAACAAACGTGTAACAGAACATAAAAGGGTTTTTGATAATAGAAAAAACACAATCTAGGTACGCACATAACCTTAATAATGAATTTCAAATTCTTCACATTTAAAAGAAAAGCCTGAAACCATCTTATCTTGTCATATTAAAATATGACCATTTTAGAATAAAAAACGACCTTTTTTAGCATCTTTCCAAAATCCAATAAATATTGCCAAATATCAGGATGGGCGTTTTTGAGTGGGCAACCCCATATAATTTATTTTTAGCTGCGGCATATTACAAGCTGTCGATATTTTTAAAGGACTTGTACCCTTATATGTCTATTTATAAAGAAGTGTAAAATTAGAAATAAGTAATTATGAACAACTGATAAACGCTTTAATAAAATAATTTAAAATTACATATAATATTTTAAAATTTACAGACATTATAGTTGACTCTAAAAATATATCGCCTGTCCAGGGTTAATACCGATTTAAGCCGCCTTTTATAAGATATCACTACAATGAGATTTTTTACCAAATAATATTTTAGATGCACTGCAAAATTTTTAATAATTTGTTTCCAATGTTTAACTTTTTCACTTTACTGTGTGTCTTAGAGTTTATACAGTGATAGAAGACATCAATTTAGTTATAAAATTAGTCATTAGCAATATTTTTAAAAGAGATTAAAAGGGCGATATATATGTTAACCCTTAAGTACTAACGTCCCGTGTCTCAGGCGGCATCGCTTGTCGAAAGTGGGGTATCTCCCTACCTAAAAAATTTTGAAGATCACCCGTTTATGACTTTTCAAGTTGTGTTGTTACTATTAGCACAGTATATTGCTTTTTAAGTAATATACTGTGCTGTAAGTAGATCGGCAGTTTGCTGCATGTTGTTATTCCAAAAATCTTTAAATTCAAAGTGTGATTTCCGTCTAATAGACAGGTTGTTAGTGTTCGTATTTATTTACTATTTACCTGAAAATGGATGAGGGACCCTGTACGTCAAAAAATGTCCAATTTGGGGATAAAAACTATGAGGAAACTCTTTCGAAATGGCTTGATGAGGTAGATGACGACATAAGCGAACTTGAATCAATTTGTGATGGAAATGTTGCTATTGATAGCGATCACGAAACGAAATCGGAAATAGAGGGTAAGTCAAATCCTGGGTAGACCGTAATCAATAGTAGAAACGCGACTGTAGACCGCACAAAATGAGGTAGAACAAGCTTATAGAGAAGATAATATTTACCAAAGCAGTGAAGAAGACCATCCAGAGGAGACAAAATACAAAAATAGATACAAATGGTCAAAAAATCCTCCCACTTCAAATAGAAGCCGGCATCCACAGAAGAATATAGTTCTACAGTTACCTGGATTACGCCCTGCAGCTGAAATTGGAGACAGTGCAGACACTTTGTAGGTTTGGAAGTTATTATTCAGTGATAATATTTGCAACATAATTCTTAGATAGACAAATGTGAAAATCGGCAAAGAAAAACCCAAGTACAAAAATCAAAATTCACCCTCTCTCAAAGACCTTTCATGACAGAACTTCACGCATTTTTGGGATTTTTAGCATTTATATGCCTATTTAAATCAAACAATGAAAACTTAAATACTGTTTTTGCTACTAATGGATTTGGTAAAGAAATAATGAGATGCCCTTTTGTTATGTTTGCGATTTGGCAATGCCGAAGACAGAAATGAGAGAACAGTTTTGGATCCAGCCTCACCGATTTCAGAAATGTTCAGTAAATTTATTAACAACTGTCGGGCATGCTATACTATAGGAACTTCAGCCTGTATTGATGAATTGCTAGTGGGATTTAGAGGTCGATGTCGCTTCAAAATGTACATACCGAGTAAGCCCTTAAAGTATGGTATAAAAATTATGTGTTTTACTGATGCTCGATAGATACAATAAGCTGACACAGGCTGTTTTGCGCTTAACTACTCCTCTCTATGAAACCAACAGATCTATAACCTTTGACAACTGATTTACATCTATAGAGCTGGTAGAGGTATTGAGAACTAAAGGTCTAACTTGAATTGAAACTCTCCGTAAGAATTGTAAAAAAAATCTTCTTACCCACCAAGCGACGAGAAATGGAAACAATCTATGGTTTTACCAAACACATTACTTTACTCTCATACACAACACATAAAAATAAAGCCGTAATTTTGGTATCGTCATCTCATCATGCAGCTACTGAGGCTACAAACACTAAAAAACCACACATAATAGTGGGTTATAATTCAACAAAGAGTGATGTCGATTCAATGGACGAAAAATGTGCCAAATTTACAAGCAGACCAACTCGCCGTTGGCTTCTGGCTATTTTTTTCAGAATATTTGATATAAGTACAGTAAATGATTGTGTTCCTTATGAGTCTTTAAAAAATAATCTTATTCTCTTCTATTTCTTCAGCCTTCATTTATCCATGGTTGGACATAGGCCTTCTCCAATTCCTTCCACGCTTCCCTATTTTTTGCAATTCTCATCCACTGCTTTCCAGCTACAGCTGTTATATCTTCTATCCATCTCTTTTTTGGTCTTTTCATGCTTCTTTTTGTTTCTCGAGTTATCTAGAATGAAACTTTATGAGACCATCTGTTCATGTCTTGTCTTGCTACGTGTACTACCCATTGCCATCTCAATGTCGCTATTTTTCCCATGATGTTGGTTACTTTAGTTCTTCGACGTATTTCGGTGTTATGAATTTTGTCTCTGATGCTTATCTTTAACATATTTAACTACCTATTTAGAAAGGTCCAATGTTATTGAAAAACTGGCATTTTAACTTATCCAACCTCAGCTAAACAAAAGACTAGAAAGTTTATCTTTACCAAGAAAACTACAGTTGAGCATATGCGAGACAATGGGTATAGATGAACCTCAACGGCGTCCAGAAGTAAGAGTAGAAAAAGTAGAAAAAAGGAAGGACTGTTCTTACTGTTACTATAGAAAGAAAAGATCTTAGTATTTTAATATTTCTTACTTTTTGCTTAACCCAAATAAAAATTTTTATTAAGATTCTTTAATTTGTTTAATTTTTATCACACTTTTTTTCAGGCGTAAAAATGTACACAAAAAATCGATCTATTCGTGTTATAATGTTTTTTATTTTAATAATACAGATAAACTATATTAATTACTGTGTTTTTTAGATAACTAATACTTTCAGTAAGTCATCACAATATTTTTTTGCATTAAAGTATTAAACAAAAAAAAATATTCACTAAAATGTTAAACCCGTCTGTCAGGCGGTGTGTTAGTACTTAAGGGTTAAAATATTTAACACAATTCAATCAAAAGATTGAAATATATTAAATGATCACTAATTTTTTATCTTACAGTACCTCACGGCATTACTGATACAATAATAAATTATTTTGATTTCTTATCCCATTTTTTTGTGGTTCCATTTATAGTTAGTATTAATCATACCATGGCACTAATGGTGAAGATGGTTCTATTGATCTATTTTTTGATGTACTTGTATTATTTCTTCCAAATTTTGACACTCTTTATAAGGACTTTCGACATCTTTCTTGTCGTTAGATTTCTTGAACCTGCTCTGTCTTACACGCAGCTCGTGGATCAACTCTCTATTACTGGACAGACTATCAGTTCTTACGACCCCCTTAAAAGAAGGTTTAGGAATTAATCCTTGACCATAAGGATTAACGTAAATCGGTGACTGGCCATCCATTGGATTGAAATCTAGTTCTTGCAGTGGGGTTTTGAGTATAGAAGGACTTCTTAAAGGAGCGTCATAGTAACCATGTTGATTAAAGTGATTATTTTCAGACACATTTCGCATATATTCATTATCAGCAGCATGTTCATTTTTGTAGTGTGTATTTTGATTTGAAACATTACTATTTTGATGTGAATAATGAATTTGGGCCAAATTTATATTTTGGTGATAATTTTCACTGTTTGGTCGGATATTGTTATAATTAAAGTGAAGGAAATCTTCAGGTGAGTTCACAAAAACTGGTGATACTGGTGATGCTGGTTTATAATCGCCATTACTAGGTGATAATAGTTTCTGGTCTCTATCTTCCAATCTAAAAATAAAATTAATAAATAAATAACGTGACTAAGGATTTGGATAATATTGCTAAGTTTAACCCAATAGTGGCCAGCCTTGCATTTTCGCAATAATTCACATACCCCACTATGGCGTCAACTATTGGAAAATGATATGACTTATTCGGGCAGCCAAAGTTTAGATTTACTTCACAACAGTTTATCTTTTATACATGTTTTAGTACCGACTTTTATCATAGCGAATGATAAAACAAAAGAAAATGGTCCCCAGGTAAGAAAATTTCTGAATCCCACGCCTCAAAGGTCTGCCTTACGGTATCTGGGGGAGGAAATCATTCACTTTTGATAGATAAAAACAAAAACCCAAAAAGATGAGCAGAACATAAATCAAAAAAATCCGTCAACTTGTCAATAGGGGCATATAATATTAGATCAATGTCCACAAATGAAAAAGTACATGAACTGAAAGAAGAATTAACAAACACAAAATAGGCCTATCAGAAACTCGACGAAAAGAAGAAAACCGAATATAGCTAAAATCCAGTAATCTACTATAATATAAAGGAAATGAAAAGAATCGTAAATTTGGAGTAGGATTTATAATAAATAAAGCTACAAATAAGCATGTCCAAATTATCAAAGGTATATCAGATCGTGTCGCCTATGTCATACTTAAAATGAGAAGAACATGAGTTAAAATTATCCAGGTATATGCCCTCATGACAGCTTATGATGACGAATATATCGAACTATTTTATGAAGATATATCAAAGGCTATGGAAGAACATAAAAATCGTCCTACACTAGTAATTGGAGATTTCAATGCCAAACTGGGTAGAAAGCTTAACAAAGAAGAAACTAAAATAGGATATTTTGGGTATGGTCAGAGAAATGATAGAGGTGCTACTTTGATGAACTACCTAGAAGAAAAGCATCTATCCGCAATGAACTCCTTTTACAAAAAGAAGCCCCAACGAAAATGGACATGGATCGGCCATAATGTATCCACAAAAAATGAGATCGACTACATACTGTCCACGGAACGATATATCATTAAAGATGTAACAGTTCTTAATAGATTCACAACAGATAGCGATCACAGGATAGTCAGAGCAAAAATTAGTATTGACGGTAACTATGAAATGAAAAGAAAAATAATTAGAAAAGGATCTAGTAGAGAGAAACAAACTATGGCAATATAAAGAGATATACAAAGACCTATTAAAAGAACAACCCAAAAATTGGACAGTTATGATAAAGATATAGACGAAATGGACAACATACTTACAGCAACGGTGATTACATCAGAAAAAGAAATAGCAAAAAAGGATCTAAAAAAGAACAACTATATATCAACAGAAACAATGGAGATAAAGAAGCTTATGGAAAAAAGAAGGAAGCTGAACGAAGGCAAGAAGGCAAAAGGAAATCTATAGAATATGTAGAAATCAATAAAACAATAAACAGAATAATAAAAGAAAATAAGAGAAAAGAACAAGAAATAAAAATAGAAGAAGTAATACAGAACAACAAAAATATGAAATGCTTAAGGCCGAAATTAGGTAAGTTTGAAATAAACAAAATAAAAGATATAAATGGAGTAGAAACAAACGTTAAAGATGACATTATAAATATAATCCACCATTTCTACTCAGAATTATATAAAACAAAAAAGGAACCACCAGATGAAATTAAAAACCAACTTAAGGCTAAAATAAAAATGTCAACTCAGAGCTACAGCCAAAAATAAGCAAATCATAAATAAAGAAGGCATTGAAAGAAATGAAAAACAACAAATCGCCTAAAAAAGATGGAATAACGGCAGAGATGCTGAAATATGGTGTAAAAGTGGTAATTAATACTCTACATTCCCTTTTTAACAAGATATTAAAAAAAAGAATCCCAAACAACTGGAAGGAATCAGTTAACCATTATCCTACACAAGAAAGGGGATAAAGCAGATATAAAAAACTATCATCCTATAACACTCCTCAATGTAATGTATAAACTCCTAACAACAATTTTAACCAATAGATTGACAACAAAATTGGGCGGATACCAGTCGAAAGAACAAGCTGGTTTTAGAAAGAGATTTAGCACAAGTGACCATTTACTAAGTATAAAAATACTTATAGAACGAGCAAATGAATATCACATTCCTCTATATATGGCGTTCATAGATTTGGAAAAGGCTTTCGACATTGTCGAACATTGGGCAGTGAAAAGTTCTTTAATTAACAGCAGAATTGACTACAGATATACGGAACTAATAGCCAATATATATAAGGAAGCCAAAACAACAATTGTGTGTGTGTTTTATTGGCACTGGTTAAAACAACAATTAAAGTATATGAAGGAACAAAATCAATACAAATAAATAGAGGCGGTGACAGGGGTGACACAATATCACCGAAACTTTTCAATCAGGCTCTGGAAGATACTTTTAAACGATTAGAATGGGAAGAAAAAGGTATAAAAATTTGTGGACAACGCTTGAACCATCTAAGGTACGCTGATGACATCGTATTGATAACCAATAAAAAAGAAGAATTATTTGAAATGATTGAAGAACTGGACGTCGAAGCTGGAAAGATAGGCCTTAATATGAATTACAGCAAGACCAAAACCATAACAAATACAGATGAAAAAATCACAATAAGAATCGGACAAGATGAAATAGAACAAGTTCAGAATTATATATATATATATATATATTATATATATATATATATATATACATATATATATACATATATATATATATATATACATATATATATATATACATATATATATATTTACGGCATAAAGTGAACTCCGCCCATGTTAAAATTCAGGTTCAAATGAGCTCCGTGGTCAAGTGGACACCGATATACGGAGCCCACTTGTCCATTCCATAATATTGGCTCTGTCGATTCGTTAAGATGTATAGTTTCATAATTCTTAAAAAAAATTTGGAGCTCATAAGTATCCCTGTATCATAAATGTATTTCGCTTAGTTCACGTGTATATATTATAGGGGTCGTTCAGATCTTCTTCACTGTATATTGGAACCATACGTATATCGGTTTAAGTAAGCTCTGATAGTTTGGCAACTATGCAATTAAGCCAGCGTTCTTGATATATACATTTTATATATTTTAAACGGTTCATACGGACTCCTTATTTTTGTTAACATTCATACGCCTTACAATATGTAATCTTCTTCTTCTTCTTGATGTGCCTATCCGTTACGAATGTTGGCGATCATCATGACAATATGAAATAGATATGTATAATACCAAATACCTGTTTTTGGTAGGGACGTGCTATTCTAAAAATAGCTTTATAAATACAAAAGGATTTCATTACCAAGTTGGATGTATTTTTTCATATACGAAAATTTACTAATGTATTTTGTTAACATGAGTATGTCTTTTTAAGTTTTATTTAAGAATACGATTAATAAGAACTTTAAGTTAATTCATTGTTTTACGATATCCTGTATATAGCTTCTTTATTATTTTATTTCTGGTTTTATCTGTGTACTACATATACTTCTGGATATCTTATCTTAAAATAAATATTTAAGTGCAAAAATAGATATTTTTATGTAAAAATTGGTAGTAGTGCACAAAAGAGGGAAGAATGCTTAACTTATATAAGAAGAATATACCAGTTTACCAATATTACATACTTCTGAATATTTTATCTTCTATTTATCTTTATAATATCTCTATGATATCTTACGTAGCTGTCTGCGCTGTATTGGGTAAGATACAGTATTTGTGACGTACATGATATTCGCGTCTTAACATTTCAATTTGAGTTCTTCCTCTATTAACGGTAATATTATATAAAGGACCATTTGTAAGAATTTTGAATAGCTGACAAAATAAAGATATTGCCGACAGTTTTTGTGTTAATTGGAGATTTTGGCAAATTTAAGCAAGGCAACAACTTAGGCTTGTCTGTACACTTTGGTTATCTGCATAGTTTGAATACAGCTTGCTGTTTATCATCCGGAGAAGCAATTATAGTGTTTTTCTTCCAAATTTCGTAATTAAGTTTGTGCTCAGATCCTCAATGTTTGGAGTCGTATTATTTTTCAATATAAGGTTGAATGTTCGAATAAATGAACTTTTATGGTACACAAGGCAAATATCGAACACAGTATTTAATCAAATCTTGCCCAAGTACTTTCGATCACAAGATCATCTTCAGGGGCATTTCGTCAGTTGTGGCCTATCCAGCAGTAACAGAATGTCATAAATGTAAATTGGGACATAACAAATACACTAAACAAAGACAAACACTTTAAAATTTAAAAATTGGAGAAGCTACATTTTATATAAAATTCATTCTGTCTCCGGCTTCTATATAAGATGTAGCTTCTCCAATTTTTAAATTTTAGCAACCCAGTCCTAGGCAACCTAGACTTCTGGGGCCTAGTGCCAGAATATTAGATTTTAATTTTTATATTTCTTACATTTGTATTTAACAGAAAAACATAATATTCATAACTACTATTGCTGAAACATTTAAATTATGCCGATTCGTTAATTTTACCTTTTACCCTGGGGGATATCAAAAACATTATACATCAATATCACTGTGCCCTAATACGTATAAAATAATAAACAAAATCATACGACATAATTTGAAGTAGAGACTGACCTTGACAAGGAATACTTAGATTTAGTAATTTATAGTATGTAATATATTCTGGAGAATATATTACATACGTGCCAATATGCTGTATTAATTCTGTGTGGGCGATGTATATTATTTAATGTATGGATATATCGTTGACATCCCTATTTACTATGCACGTATTTAAAAATAGTAAATGAGAAAAAAATATATAGGAGGGAAGTACATACTTTAACGTGTAGTAGGGACAATCGAATTTATTTCTTACATGTTGCCGTTTCGTGGTACAAATGAAGTATTTTTTGTAAAAATAATGGTAATTATATAGGTGATTTATAATATTTATCGAGTTCGTTTGAACTGCAACATTGATACAATAAACTAT